AGAGAGAGAGAGAGAGAGAGAGAGAGAGAGAGAGAGAGAGAGAGAGGGAGGGTTCCCCGACCCTGAATGTCAGGCAAGTCCCTGCCGGAAATTAGAATAACGCGAACGATGAGAGACAAGCTGCAGCAGCATCCCATCCTCGGGCGAAACGTTCGTTGTCATCGCATCGTAGAAATGCATATCCAGTTGCATTTATAATAGCTTGTAATCATTTTTAATTTGATCACTAAAAAGATTTGTAATTACAGCAATACAAAGCACTTTTAATAAATTGTAAATCATAATCAACGTTCCATAAATCAAAAGATACAATAAATTTTTTTTAAACGCTTCGTTAGTTATTTTATTTTTACTGTATAAAAATTGTCGTTTAATTCGTGAACTGCCGCAAGCAGCAGCACTTCATTAAAGGTGTTCTATGCTTTTTGATAGGAAAACGTGCGGATACAATCTTTTTTTTTTTAGAATGATATTGTTTAACCACGATAGGTCGAACATTGGAATATAGCGTTGTACAGTATATTCCCATTCGTTGTGCTCGAAACAGAGTGAGCTCGGATTTTCGTTTTTCCAAGTAATGAAGCCGAAAGGGAAATACATACATACACATATACGGGTGTAACGTTCACTGTCGAAGCCATGTCAAATAAAATATAAAAAAAATCAAATGTCAAATAAAAGAATTAGTCCCGTTACGTTTCATGTCGCCATGCTAGTCGATCAGATTTTCGCCTCCATGCCGCGCATTCGTTGCCCTCGATTTTCGAAAATCCTCCAACGGACGGGAACGACGACGTAATTTCATTACGTGTCAAACCTATCGGTCTTTTCACCGATTCGCTTCATCTCGCTGGCATTCGCGCACTACGGGGTGGTCCGTTACCGGATGCTCTTTCATCACGCAACCGCGGGAATGAAATTAGGATAATGATAGATTTGTCTGAACGTTGAGCTACGTATGATTACGAAACTACTTAATGATTGAAGATTGAAACATTTGAGATAGCTACTCTAGATTCGTCAGAGATGATCAATCTCTAATAGAAATGAGTGGGTAGAATTGAATGGATCAGATATATAAATAAATAGCGATATTAATAGTTAGCTATGATATACAATAATGGTTACATGGAAAGAACAATTTTGTTGAAATATCTGAAAATTAGATGATCTGAAATTAATTTTGTTGGACTATCAAAATGAAAACTAAAAAACGATGAGCAGTGCTGCAAAAAATTTAGCTGTTTTGAAATATCTAAAAATTTAGATAGATACTGATTTGAAAATAATTTTGTTAATCTATCAAAATATTGAAACTAAAAAACGATGAGCAATACTGCAAAAATATTGTGATATTCTAACAACCAGAATTTCCAAAGTTATAAGTTTTGATGATCCAACAAAATTATGTTTAGATTTGTATTTAACACAATTTTAAATCTTTCAGCAAAATCATTCTTTTTATGTTCTATTGTTTTGAATTTATATTTAACTATCTATAAACAAGATATCGAATGGTCGGGGCTATATGGTTATTGCTAAAGTTTATCCGCAATCCCGAAAACTTATTTTCGTCGCAATGGATAACACTTTGTTAGCGGTAACATTCGTACTATACAAGGTGTCCGTGATATTTTATTTTCTAAGCTATTGGTCACAGAGTAAAGTTCTTTGTCGTAAACTTCAATGTTTCGCCAGAATCTTTAAATGGACGTTTTCACATCAAATATTGTCGTCAATTTTTGTAAAACCAAACGGATACAACGTGAGTATTTTATAGAACGATACACGTTCTTATCTAAAATCGAACATTCGAACTGTACTCAAGCGTGCAGATTTAAAATGTGTCACGTAGCTAGCGAATAATTGGAGTTTCGAGTGCCGAGAAATTTTGGTGCACTTTGTATACTCTGAAGCGTGAAACACGCGAGGTGGATAGTTCGCTCAGATTGAAGAACCGACTTATTTAAAGAGTTAAACAAGCTCAGTTCTTTAACGTAGTTGTACGACAAGTTGAAATAGCTATCTCTAGTATATATTTTTCTTGTTCGGCAACCGAAACTGCGCTTGCCATTCTATTGCTAAGAAAGAATTGCAAGTATTTCAGGTATATGTACGACTTCATAATTTCATTGTTCGTGTTTCAGGTCCACCCGGTGAGCCGGGTCCACCCGGAAAGAGGGGCAAGAAAGGGAAGAAGGGTGATCCCGGGGAACCCGGTGCGCCAGTGAGTATTCTTATACCGATGCTTCAATACCACGCTGAGCATGCCATATACACATACATATATATATATGTGTGTGTGTGTGTGTGTGTGTGTGTGTGTGTGTGTGTGTGTGCGTGCGTGCGTGCGTGCGTGCGTGTGCGTGTGTGCGTGCGTGCGTGTGCGTGCATGCGTGCGTGTGTGTGTGTGTGTGCGTGTGTGTGTGTGTTTATGTGTGTGTGTGTGAATAACCCTCGAATATATTAGTGCACTAATACACGTGCAGTTGTCTGTGTGCGAGTATGTTTATTAGGGAGTACAGCTTCATGCATGAAATAGTAATTAATGATACGCGTTATCTATCCCTCCTCCTGTTCCCCTTTTCTGGACTTGAGTGGTGACTAATGTAAGCAGTATGCGCTTTCACGAGACTTGCATGCTCAGTGAAGAGAATTAAAGACACACTCCCGCGAAGATGGTCTGAACCGTAAAGTTTAAAGAATGAGCTGAGTGCTATCGTGTATTAATCACGGTGTACTCTCGTTGTAAACTCCATTTTTCTTTGGGAGAAATTAATTTTTTCTTCCTCTCCTAAGAAAGTAGGAGTTTATTAGATTACTTTTGCGAGCGTGTCTTCAATTCAACTTGATCGAAAACTTTATCGCGTAATTACACCAGATCAAAAATGAAGCTCATCCATATCGGTTGCGGAGAGAGCTTATTTGATATTTAACTGATACTTTTCTGTTAGCATCTTACAATGAAATATCGATGTCGGATGACTCGGCGATTAAAACGCGAAGTTACAATATGACGTTGTTAGCGGAGAAACAAATTAATCTCACTCGCGCGATACCAACTTACATTATGTCAAGGTGTAATTAATTAGTTTCAAACTGTACATACGTATATACAAATTATATGTACGTACAACAACTTATTCACATTTTCAACCTTAATATAAAACTCGAAGGCTATTATTTTCCCTTTAAATTTGATTTATTATTAAGTCTTACATTTATTTTTTTATTCCTCGATATATGTTGACCGCATTAAATTTTAAAATTATACGAAATAATGGCTTTAAAGTCGGATCGTTATCTGTCGAATTTAATCATTGACTTTGAAATTTTGTGCCCGTTGCGACGAGCAGGTTCTCTCTTTTCGGCTGGCAGCATCGTGGGTGTTCCAGAGACGCGCGATCGGATTTCCCTCGTGATTGCCGATCGAGCGAGCGCATCGTCGCGTAATCAAAGAGATCGGATTGGCGGAACACTGGGTGAACTGGGAGGGAATGGACCGGCACACTCGTGTGCGTGCGCGCGTGCTTATACGCTCGTGGAATATCTAATTGGCCGGAATAATTATCGGCGGTAGTATATACGAGTCCTTACAGCCGCGATCGTGTACATATATATGTATACGCGACCGGGACCGATAATATCGCGGGCACGATCGGCCGGTCCGCGAAATAATCGCTTTTGCATGTGCGCGAAAGAGTACCCTGAGTAAATCCCCCTCCCCCTTCTCTCCCCCTCCTCGTGTAAACGAGTTTTTAATTTTTTATACCCCTTCTTACAGGGTGTGGCCGGGACGCCGGGCAAGAACGGTTTTCCGGTATATTATTTTTTATTTTCTTTCTCCAACACTCCTTCTCGCTTCTCTCTGTCTGTGTAACGTCTATCTGTCTATCTGTCTCATATCCTTACATTTGCATTCGTTTCTCTGTTATTCTCTCTGTCTCTTTTTCTCGCTGTCACGTTTTTTTTAAACACTACGGACTATCATCACACTGTGTGTATCGAACATAACAGCCATTAAGTACCATTAATGCGTATCATGTAGCCGCTGATGTGAGATTTTGCTCGTTTGACCTGCTTCTTTATCCGCGAGCTGTCTCTCGATCTGAATCCTCTTCTGGCTCCGATACAAGCTATCCATCTAGATTTTTTATTCTCTTTTTTTGTATCATATATCAGTGCGTGATTCATATACGCGCGCGATCGAAACGCGAAATCGGATTCTGGCATCTTCACCTTCAATATTGTATGACGCGTCGCTTTGACGACTGAAGGTGCAACTGTTATATGCATATTGGTGAGGAAACGGGTTAATGAATTGCACACTTCACTCGTTGCGAGTATGATTGCTTCTCGTTTTAATTACTGACAATCTTGAACTACCTATCAACCTTTTATTCGTAAAACTTGCGATCGGTTTATATCAATAAAATTTGAATATTTCTAGTAGTATGTGAAAGGTTCGTTTTCGTAAAATTTGTATCAAAAAGTAAAATTTTATTGCGGGCAAAATTTATCTTTCGACGTTACATAACATTCGATCAATTGATAAAGAGTATTGCACATAGTTCTTATTTAAATTGTATGTAATGAAAAATATGTAAATTAGATACGAAATGTAAAATAACTGACATTTATTTGTCGAGACTGATTATTCACGGTGGCAAACGATATCGAAAGAAATTCAGTATAAATTGGCGCATTGGTGAAACATCAATTTCGAGATATGACCCGGCATCAAATATGAAAGTTGCTCCGTCAGAATCGAAGCTGCGCAAAATTAAACATTCATCGTGTGCCGAATAAAATTTCTATTAACAGCGCTTCCTCGGTCGTCGCAAATGTACGCGTCACATCAGAGAGGATCATGCGAATGCACTTTTGTCGCGCCTGGAAGCATAACGGACTCATCACGGTTCTGGTTTGTCGCGCTCCGCCCGTATTTATTACATGTTACATACACAAGGAATGAGATTTCCAAGGGCTCGCTCAGCCCGCACGCAATTTTTCACTTTTCTTCGTTCGTCATTACGGACGCGTGAGCGACGACTGGCACTCACTGGCGGTGTTCTTTCAGGGACCCATCGGCTTGGACGGGCCCAAAGGTGATCCGGTAAGTTCACCGCATAATTTACATTTTAATTTCGTCGCGGCGTTACAAGCGTGCGAGATTAATTGCTTCGTAAAAACGCGAGAGGCAATATTTTATTTTGCGACGCTTAACGTTCTGAGAATAACATTATTTAATGGAATAATGGTTATGGGCGTGAGAGAGTTTTAATCATAATATATTTTGTGCGGCGAGAAACCTGTTTTACCAAAATTTATGTTTACGCGAGGTGTCATATTGTAATAAATAATCCAATTTCTTCTTTTTTATTTACATGCACAGGTATTCCCAGGTTGTATAAATGAAATTTTTTAACATTTTATTTTATAAAGTCGATCGACATCAAAACAAATGCTAGACATTGTGAAATAATCAATTTGTAATTAAATATATGAGATATCTTTGAAGTTTTCTGCTTGACTGTCGATATCGGCCGATTGCTCATATATATTTTAATCGATACGATATAAAATTAGATATGCCTTATCTAAATTTTCTGTCCACTTGCACAGGTTTTGAAACGAGGTCACTTAAGACATTTTGGGAGCGTCTGTTTGTCTCACTGTTCTTAAATATAAGATTGACAATTTATTTAAATCGTGTGCTTCTCTTTCTCTCTTTCCGATTTAGTTTAATAGTATTTTATAGATACAGCCTTGGCCAAAAATATTGGGGTATCTTATTAATTACTATTATTAAAGTTCTAGCTCAAAAATTATGGCATTTTGTTTTGGCAAATCATCATTTGTTCAAGAATCTTTTAAACTTATATGTCATGCTGGTATTAATAAGACAACAATGCAGGTAAAAAAATTTTAGATGAATGAAGAAATATAAGTATCTAATATTTTTTACTAAGGTTGTATATATACGTATATATGTGTATATTATATATTCTCTATTACGGAAAAGGTGAGACGTCGCTCGTCTGAAAAGACGATCAAGAAAGCAACAAAATCAAACGTTTGAAATGATATAAAGATAATGACACGAGAGAGAGAGAGAGAGAGAGAGAGAGAGAGAGAGAGAGAGAGAGAGAATTTTGATATCGAGTTTCCGTCAGGCGCAGCTGTTCCTAAAAGGATGAAACTTTTCTGGTCTACTTCGCAGTTCAGTAGGAATTGAAGTAAGATATTTAGTCTTGTGATATATTTCGAGACACGATTCGATCGGTATTCGAATCGCAATCTAAAAATAATTGAAGAAACGGGAACGCATTTAGGTACCAATCGCTCCGAACTCGCTTTGACACTTTTCCTCAATTCCCTTATTTGCAACAGCTGATGTATGTTAATCGAAATCGAAAAAAGCCGCAAAAATGCAGGATAATCAATCATATGGATGATACTTTCGGTATACTATATACATTTCGCTATCAGACTTTGTTTTTGACGAACACGGATCAAATGCGGGCAATGCGAATGAAAATAAAATCAAATGAAACATTACGAAAATCTGATGCAGATATTTTCACTTATATGAATACGAATAATTGAGAAAATTATTATGTTATGGTTATTTTAATAGCATGAAAATTGATCAAATGGAAAGAAGAATTTTGAAGGAATTAAAAATTAGCTATGTACAGTCCTAAAAATAATTTAGCTAGATACAGATATGAAAATAATTTTGTTGAACCATTAAAATAATTACGTAGAAAATTCAAGCATGATGCTGCAAAATATTTTGACATTTTAGCAATCAGCTTGAACGTTCTATGCGTGATTATTTTGTTGTATTTTGTGTGTGTGTGTGTGTGTGTGTGTGTGTGTGTATTTTGTGTTAATGAGCAACAAAATTATTTTCAAATCTATATCTAAATTTTCAGTTATTAGGTGTAGTAAAAAGAAATCCATTATTTTTCCATTCAATTTCATGCAAAAATAATGGATTTCTTTTTACTACACCTAATATTCGAGTAAAATCGTTTTTTCCGTAGAAAATGTTTCTTTAATACTTAAAAAATTTTAATACATAGCGTGTTAGTAAAAAATATTGACTATATTAAAGTTGCAATATTAATTTATAAGTTTACAGATGCGAAAAGAACGATTTTGCTGAAGTATTTAAAAATATAATTAGATTTAAAAATACACACACAGATTTAAAAATAATTTTGTTGAGCCATCAAAATAATTATGTAGGAAACTCAAGAGTGATGAGCAATGCTACATAAAATTTTTATATTCTAATAACCAGCTTGAGTGTCTAATTATTTTAATAGTTCAACAACATTATTTTCAGATCTGCATCTAGTTAAATTTTTATATACTTTATATCAAAACCGTTCTTCCCAGGCGTCTTTTTTTTTAACTACAGTCAACTTTTTACGATAAAATAGTATTGAAAATAAAAAAGAAAATCATTATAATTCACTTACTTATGAATATATTTATACAGCGAAAAAAGCGACGTTATTGTGTAAAATTGTTATATAATTAATAAACAACAAAGTACTCAGCTTTCGTATGCAAAAATAGTTTTTTTAAAATTCAGTATAAAAATTTACATTGTATTTTTTAAACATTTGACTTCTCTGTAGTCAGAGTTATCGTGATTTATTAAGACAACTCCATATTCTTAGTCTCGGTTGCAGTGTGCAGCAGTGTGGTCGAATAGGATTGGAAGATGAATCGGATTTTAAATTGAAGATTTGCTCGCTCACTTGCACTCACTTACTCTATTAACTCTGCTGTTCGTCGGGAAGCAGTTACTTGGCTGCGCTCGATCGTTGTATTTTCTCCGTGCGCGCGAGATGCGATCTTTTAACTCCAATCCGACTCATCGGTTGAATACCTATTCATCAATTGATCTGCTGTCACTTTCTTTTCGCGCTTAAATGGATACGAGACATACAAAGTCGCGACATGTAGAAGGTCATTTCTTGCCGCCGTCATTTCGTTTATCATTCATAAATGTATAACAGTCTATACATAAGTAATGGTAATATGTCCTTTCGAGAAAATAGACACGCGAATATCAGAGCGACAGGAGCACAGATTGATTATTCCGCATTCCTTATTTCGTCGTTTTATTATATATCTGTCTGGCTGTTGCACATGCAAACTGACGTGCGCACGTCATTGCGCTTTTGGAGTTGTCGCTTTCAACGAGGTCGGATCTGTATAGGTATTCACGAGAGGTAGATAAGATGAAAACCGTCATCTAACGGAATACGTAAATTCATGTATTAGGATATAGAAGTTCCATAGTTCGCACGTTTGCTTCGAGAACTCGCCTTGGCATACGAGATGGTTGCACGAGGCTCATGCTGGTTACACGACGGGGTCCTTGTATTATATCCCCGTACATGCATCCTCTTGTATATGCGTGACTCTCGGTTATGCAAGGTCCTCGTGACACGCAAAGTCTTTTCGCATGACAGGCCCTTGTATGCGCGTCGGTAGCCCTTTGTGGCCACCTAGTTTGCCTTAGAGAACAGCCTCTGTCTATTGGTGTACACACACGTGCACGGCGGTGTTTCGCGTATACGTTTGATGTCGCTCAGGATGTCGCGGAATTACTGCTATTTCCCTTAATTACAGACGCTACGTGATTAATTAAGAAGATTGACGACACACTAATAAGTGTTTTTTCGCCATGCGGACGGTCAGATAAGAAAATATAATCTCTTACTTGATCTCGAGTGGATGTTATTTGAATATTGTCATTATTTAAGACACGCAGCTACCGAGATATACTACATGCTTAAAAATTGCGAAAAGATTGTGATTTCATAGACATATCTAGAATTTCAATTGGGGGGAGGCATAAAAATTTATATTTACACAAAAATTTTATTAAAATATTTATATTAAAGCCTTTCAAGATATTCAACGAACTTTATTATATGAAAAGAACAAAAGTTGAAAGAGCTAAAATTTTGCTCGATATACATATACAGAACTGAAAATAATTTTGTTGGATGATCAAAACAATTATGTTGGAAATTAAAAATTGAACATTGCTGTAAAAAAATTTGAAATTTTAGCAATCAGTTTGAGTTTTCAATATTTTTGTTTTCAATATTATTTTGATAAAAAAAATAAAATTATTTTCAAATCTGTATTCAACAAAATTTTTCATACATACGATTTTATAAGATTTAATATTGTTAAAAATTTTAGATATTTTAGCAAAATTGTTTTTTTTTTTTTCACGTACGAATAACGCGGATTGAGCAATAAGCGTTTAGCTTTTTATCGTAAAACTGATTTTAATAATTTAATTGTTCTTAACAATATTAAGATTAGAACAAATTATACGAATACATCAGCTAATTGTAAGTAAGAAAAGCATCAATTACATCAAAATTAGATATTGAAATGATATTCTATAATATATGTTTTACTTTTAAATAAATTTATCTTAGATATATGACATATGCGTCGATTACTTTCGACCTTGCACTCAAACTGAAACAAATTAATCCTCCAAATTAATTGTCTATCCTCGGAAAAATTTAACGCCTCGCTTACGTACGTATTTGTCAACCATTATTTGTCCAACAAAATTTTCATCAAAGAACAATCTATTACGAGGAATTCACGGACGATGGTTTTGGAATACTCTGTACGCTCAGGTACCTGATAGACTGGGGAGAGAATATACATGAGGACGTATTGTATGGTAGAACACTGACGTGACTGGATCTCGGTGGCGGTAAGGTACAAACGACAGAACAAATAGATAGCGAGGAAATGTGTCCGAGAGGAAAACGAGAACGTGCGCGATTGAAAAAGAGAGAGAAAGAGGGAGGAAACGAGGATAAAAGGAAGGGAGAGCAATAAGTGCATTGCAAATATCGCTAGTTGTTTGTTCTGTCGATAGCCGGGAAGAAAGGACCCGCACGATCGACTCCTTCCTCGCGTTCCTCTCTTTGCCCGGCCGGCGTTTTCTTTTTAAACGAATGTGGCAAACGAGTGTGTACACAGTTACTGGCGACCAACACCCGGCGCCGAACCGTACTAAGGGTATTCCGAGATTCGAATAACGAATCCAGCGTTTATATCAGATTTCGTGCAAATAGTCGTAGCGCGGGTTACAAGCGGTGGTAGCTGTGACTCCGCAATTTGCCTCGGGATCACGCAGTTTACTCTCTATTCGCTACTCATGGAGAGGCAAGATCCGGCGTGCAAACACACAGGTTTATCTTCTTGAAAATTTACAACCGCGCTATCTACACTGCAAGCTGACCCGGACGAAATATTAAATTACGATTTTAACCCTCGTTGGATCGCGTAATCCGAATTGCCCTCGTGTCTGCGAAGTTCGAAATTTTATGCAGGTCCGCGCTCTCTTCATCAAGATATGTCCATGAAGGATATACGTCACACGATAATATAGTTCTCGTGCATCGATACAGTGAATACGCAGAAGTGGATCTGAAAAAACTGCATGCAGTGAAATAGGATTGATTTTTTTATAGGATTTTGGTCGAACTTTTGATCGGATATCGTTACTAGAACAACTGTAGATTGAATCTGATCCTAGCGCAGTATTTTATACAGTATAAAAAAAAATATGCGGTTTGATTTTTAAGTTCGTCTAGATTGAAAAAAAAATTATTAAATCTTGGTACATATTTCTTTGAATAGTATTAAGTTAAACAATAAACAAATATTTATTCAATAAAAAAAAGTGATAATTAAATTAATGGTTTTTGTATCAAAGAAATATTTTACATTTAGTAAATATTTCTTTAAAACTATTCAAACAAATATTTATTAAAATTTAGTATTTTTTTTAGAGTAATATTTTCTCATCTTCTAATTTGTTTAATAATTTTTTTTTATTTTTTTTTTTTTATTGTTATGAAGAGAGACAAAAATTGAGAGTTTAATTGACGTTGTTTTTTAATTTGGTGGCATGAATTGTAGGGAGTATTTATATTTATTGATATTTATTGACATTAATATAAGTAATTACGTCTGTGAAGATAAAATAGTTCAGGACTAATTATATATGTGTCATTATGAAAAATAATTGACGGCGAAATTAAAGTGCAAAATCTTGCATCTAAGATATCTTCGTAGACTTTAGAAAATTATCTGAAAGAGAGTCTTATTTAATTAATAGTAGAATCTGCAGAATCTTCATACAGATATTTTGAGCTCTACGCTATCGGATATTTCTAACACGGAATGAGTGCCCTAGAATTCTTAATTAAAGCTGAAAGTCGGAAGTGTCTTCATAGTGATTCAATACGCAAAGCTGATGTGAAAATGAAATCTCGGCGTATCGTTTTAACATCAGAAAGAGGTGATATTTAACAGATCAAAAAGAAATGGTAAAATTCTCTTAAAAGATTGTATAGAATTGTATGTAAGAAAAAAGAAACTTTAAAAAAAATTCAATTTTTTTCTCGAAGTTTTATAACTACCTCACAAATTAGAAATAATGCGCAGCAAGAGCCGAGAGATATTTGATACAACACTCATTTCGAAAAAAGCCTGTTTATTCTGTCTATTGTATCGTCGTTATTACTCTACGTAATACACAGCACCGATCTCTTTTGTTCACAGGGCCGACCCGGCGACAAAGGGCAGAAGGGCGAGCTGGGCAGCCCCGGATTCGACGTCTTGTCCGCAGTAAAGGTATCTAAGCTACGCTATCTGGCGCAGAGTAAAGCAATATCCGCCGGCGCAGTCGTAATGTGAAAATGCGTGTTGCGCTCTCTCATTTCTCGCCCTGCAGCCCTCCGTCGTCGTCCTTCAGAGTGCAATCTCGTAAAGCCCATGGAACGTGTGTAGTACCGGCGTGGCCGACTACACACAGGGCAGAGAGAGAAAGAGAGGCGAGAAGAATACGGGATAAATCCTGAAGGGACGACGGAAGAGGGTGTGCGGGCAGAAGAAGTAAAACGATATTTTCATCGCGCGTAAAGCTGCAAATCCCATTTCACATGGTAAAAGTGCACTCGAGCGGGAATGTTATTAACGCCTTCTCGATCGCGTCGCCGTGAAGCGTCAAAGGACCAACGATTAATCGAATAAATTACATGGATTTCGTGATTTCAGCCCGAAGAATTTCAGAAATATCTGGGAATGAATCGAAGCGAAGAAATTAATGTCATGCGCAGGGGAAGCTCCGCTTTGGAGCGATCCGAAGTAGAACGAGGACTTTTATATATGAATCCTCCGGGAAATCGTATATCCGAAGCTCTATGGGTGGCCTAATTTATCACCGCGTTTATATACATGATAATTAAATCTCTCGCGCGAAAATGAGATTTGTAAAATCGTCAAAGCATCTGAAATAACATTTCACGCAGCAATTCTCGATCCTATATAAAGAATTTAGTGTTTTATTTAACCCATCGCTTTTTTTTAAGGTCGGAGCTTCCTCATTCCGCTCGAGCGCACTTGCGCGCGCGATTTCTTTCACGAAGTGTCATACGACGAGGAAGTATACTGTTCCTCCTGTCGTTGCCAGGTTCGAGGACCTAACCAGTTTCACCCTGGAAGTCGAGCGATGCTCAAGCGATTTCATTCGAGGACGACGATGCATGCACGATGCATTTGTCCGTGCACATGCATATGCATACGCTCGTGTCCAGGGCGAAATCACCGAGGTTCTGCGTCCTCTCGATCCAATGTGCAACAAGCGCGTTCGAGTATCGATCGATGCGTTGCCACACGACGACGAGCATATCACGCACGGAGTCCGCGTGCGATGAAGCACAAAGACGATTGACGGCTAAATGAAATTTACGATATAAAGATTATACAGTGGCTGCCAAAAGTTTCCAGCTAACATATAATTTTACGATAATTTTTGTCAATTTTGTTTCAATTTAAATTATAAATTAATAAGATTCTTGTTATAATCAATTTAAGAACACAATATTTTATAAATATTTCATAAATATTAGGATATACTAATAGTTATATACTTGATCTTTATTTATAAAGATTTTTTATCTGAGCTATTCAATAAAATTATTTTCCGGAAATGTTTGACAGTCACAATACATAAATATGTATTTTTCTAGATTTTTATTTAAGACAAAATCGATTCCGGAGTAAGTTAAACAGACGCAATTTTAGATATTAAAGCAGTAATTAGGAAACGATAATTAATTTCATTTTTGCGATCATATAAATTATAAGTTTTGTAAATGAAATTATTCGAAAGTGATATTTTATTTTATGTATTTATTGTACGGAGGAAGGAAATAATTTTTATCATACAGTAAACATTTGTCATCAATAAATAACGGTAGGATAAAAGTAATGGTCCGGAAAAAAATCGCGTCAACTGTTGCGTGCGATTTGTTGTCGTAAAACTCATTCACGACGTTTTGCACGTTCGAACGACGTACAACGGAAAACGAACGATCCGTCGCGCGTCATCCGTCAAAATGCAGCGGCAGTGGAACTAGTGTGATTGGCTGCGTTCAGCAGAGATTTGCAACTGTTGAAATTCTTTAATATAATTGTCTTGCTCTTAATTTCTCACTAGATCTAAATATACAAATTATAATTATATTAAAGAATTTTACAAAAATTTTATACTGGAAGATAGTAATTAACTGTATACTTTCTTTGAGTATTAAAAGCACACTATAGTGTTTTTAATACTCAAAATAAGTAATTAATTACTACCTTTTGGTATTAAATTTTTGTATCAACAACTATTATAAAATTATTACAAAACTGTTGTATAGCGCTTTTACATCTTATAACAGTTGTACAATGCTTTTAATACTAAAAATATATAATTAATTACTTTCCTTCCAGAGAACTAAATTTTTATAAAGACTGTTGTAAAATTAAAAAAGCACTGTTGTACAGTTTTAATATTTAAAATAAATAAATTAAGTATTACGTTCTCTAATACGTTAGATTTCTGTAAGAGTGTAAAATTATTTTTTTCTGTTGAACACAGCCATTGTCTTAACCAGAATTCCTAGCGCGAGAAAAAAAAATAATCCCGTCGATCTCTCGCATTGTGCTTCTTTCCCGCACGCGGATTCCATCTGTCGTGAAAATAAATTTCATGTAAAAATCTGTTACGCGCTCGACCGCCAACAGCCAACGGCAACGCGACATCGCAGTACGAGAGCAAATAAATAAACCTTTCCTTTTTTCTCGCCTACGGGTCAATGCACAGGGATTGGGGTTAAAGAGGTCGGTGACGACGCTCCGCGGCGGGACGCTCGGCTACGCGGAAATCGTCGCCCTCAAGGTAAACCGGCTTCCTCCTCCTCGGAAGGCGCGACACGCTTCTCGGTGTCGCGATCCGGACGGACGTCCTCCAATCTCCTCAATCGTCTCCCTCCGCTGTTTCTTACCCATCATCTCGTCAAACATCATCTTGTCCAACATTGTCGTAGTCGTCGTCGCTTCTTCTCTTCTTCTTTTCATTCCCTGTCCCCACTGTATTCACTTTTCCCCACCGTCAACCCCTTGTTATACCTGTATGTCAGTTTTTTTTGTGTCCGCGCGTCGTCGCATACATCCCGGATGCGCGACAGGCCGCGGATCTCGTCGTCCAGTTGTTCTTTAGCTAGTCGTTGCCTCGTGCGGTGCTTTCGGTGTAGCGTTCTCTCGTTGGTTTACACGAAACGAAGCGCGTCGTCGATGCTCGATCGTCGAATCGGGGCCTCTCTTTTTTCTGTCGATCCGACTTTCGATTCCGACTTAATATAATCTCAGAAGGAATTTACTCTTTAACCTTTAGAGGATGGAGATCTATTTTTAAATCTTACAGTTTTTTTCTGGAGTAAAATTTGTCATAATTTATTATTTTGTTGTATTCGTTGCTTCAAAATACGACACTGTTTTAGCGCCTTTATAGTGGCTTTCCCATCCTGTTAAAGGATAAGAATATGTATAGAATAATATAATTTCGGGTAATAATGTTGATGCCTATCATGTAATACTTGTGTTATTGATTGTGATCGAACGATAATGAGAGAGACCACTGAATGAACGACCATCGGCGATGCACTTTTTCACTTTGGTTTTTGGTTGGTAATGGTGTTTACTTTAAGTTACAGTATTTAGGTATATCTCTGGGCATGTCTTGGATTCGGAAGAGCAGTGAGATACGAGAACCCGTATTCTCCTTTATCCACCCCCTGAAAAAAATCGACGTGAACCTCATGCTTTCCGCCCGATACCGAAATCGTCAACCCCCTCCCCCCCTCTCATGACCCCCTCCTCCTGTTCTTGTCTTGTAGCGATTTGGTTTTTTACCCGTAGTGTTGACCTACTTTTAGGATCTTCAGGAGAAAGGGGTTAATATCTCAGCGCAGAACATCATACCACTGAAAGTAAGTGCGCCTGCTTTTCGGGAAGTCCCCTTTTTCTTCCCTTTTATCGATCCCTTGACGAATGGTGCTCGATTCAAATTTTGCAACAGAACTCTCTTCGGCTATTTTTAATAGCCGAAAAGTTCTGTTGCTAATCTATTTTTAGAAGACGTTCTATTTTGAGACATTTTATAAATTTAAATATATCAATTATTTGTTGTTACTCAATATTTCCGTAAATGTCATTCTGCATCCATTATTTTTAAGGCATTAAATTTTTTAAGCATTGCGTTGATATACATAGTTCGATAAGTTAGTAACTTTTTAAAAAAAGATGTTGACAAATAAATTAAATTTTTGTTTAAAAAAGTTAAAAAAGTCTGATTTATTAAACTGCTCTCGTATTTGAAAATAGGGAAAGAAATAGAAAAAAAAGAGAAAGAAATATTGCAGATTAACTTGAATATTTTCAGAACTTATCTTTTGTTTATTCATACTTTCTCGAGGACGCTTAAACACCACCAGATCATTCTAAATTCGCTGGTGAAAGTAGAAAATGCCCTGCTGAAACGAACTGTCGCGTTGCAAAGAAGTTACAAAAGTTTGCTCACCTCGAAGGAATCCCGGGGCGATTTAATTCTCCCTTTCTCCGAGATTGCAAACTTAGTTCTCGTTCTCGTTCGCTGTCGCGACAACCGGAAGTTGTCGGGGAAGGTTTATTTATCGGTCGGATAACCGATACCGAGCGTGCTGTATATATCCGTCCCTTAATCACGTAGTGGAATTTTGTCGCGGTCGACGCAGTTTCACGCTGAGCACCATTTGTTCGAGGGAACGAACGAGGCGCGAACACGGCAGAAGGAAGTTTCGAGTAGTTGTAACTCGAAAGATCGCACAACGATCGAGTCGAATCATCCCGCTGTGTTCGCGCCATATCGACATGCGCGAGGTTCGTTGGACCCCTTACAAGATATACCCTTTTATTTTACGGTTCGATTCCTCCGTTCTTACGCCCCATCTTCCTCTCTCTTTCTCTCTACTCTACTCTCTCTATCGGGGGTCGTGTACAAGTTACTGTGTGCCTCGTATACCATTCTCGATAATCGATTGTCTCGATACGCGAAAGGAAAGACCGCACGAAGATCCACGAAGGAAAGCCACCACCGCCTTGCCTCGCGATATTCCATTCTTTCGGGCGAATGCAAATCCTATCGCGAAAGGCAGACACAGCCTCTCGACTCAGCTTCGATTGTTGCTGCTGTTGCTGCTTGTCGGCATCGAATTCGTATTCCTTGAAAGATCGGAGACGCGGAGATCGGTAGTGGAGTGCCAACAGTGCGATATCCTATACTCTTTCAGAGTAAGAGATGGAACCGGTTCCCCTCTCTGCACGTTTCGTACATCCGCTCCGTGGTAGTGCTTTGACTCGGCTCGACGACGGCTTCTATTCGAGCGCCGTTCGGGTCTCAAAGGGGATATCGTCCCGTCGCTCGAGATGTATCGCTTTATCAAATTCCGAAGGCGGAAGATTTTTAGAATTACGGTTTCACAACGTAGAATTTTCAGAGTCAAATTTACAGTCGAAGAATTTTCAGATATTCGGCTATTCCGGCAAAAGAATTTTCAACTTGAATTTTACGATGAAAGAGATCAGATCTGAATTTTGCAATTTTTCGTTTATATTTTATCTTGATGTCCGTGATAAATTAATTGAATTATATATTTTTATTGCAACATTATATGGTATTTATGCATATGAAATAATAAAACTTGAAAATATGAGGATTTTGATAAAATAAAATATTAACAATAACAAAATTGTTTAATTTATCTGATGGAATATTCAAAATTTTTTTTATCAATAATATGTGTATATAATAATATATATATATATATTTGTCGAAAAAAATCTTCGTGATGATTTTGTAACAAAGACAATCTTTCGCTTAAAGTTTATCCACGATGTCGATAAATGTTTGCTATAATCAAATTATTTATTTTTATGCAACTTTATATACATGTAAAAGAAAAAGTAAATCTTGAATATAACAGAAGTCTGATGAAATAAAGTATTGATAATGCTTTTTAGTTTACTAAAATATTCACAATTATCAGTAATATTTTTCAAATAAACTTTTATGATTGAGTTTGATTTTGCATTCGACACAACACGTGCAGGCAAGGTGTCAATACTAAAAGAAAAACATACGCGAGGGAAAAAAAGCATTCGAAATTCACGAACGCCTCCGCGAGAGGGAATTTTACGCGAGAAGCGCGGATTACGTGGTCGCGTAGCCGCGAAAAAATCCCTGCGGGAAACGTGTGCGCGAGGGAAAAAAAAGGGGAAGAGAGAAGCAAAAAAACAGAAACGTGGTAGCGTTACGCTGGTGCACATAAGGCGCGAGTAAAAAATGCACGACCCCACCACACCCGTCCCGCATGCCGATGCGAAAATCGCACACGCGCCCGCACATTGGGCGCGTGCGTGCGTGCATTGCATGATACTACTTTGTAACATCTGCAGTCTATCCTATTCTCTCTAGTGCGATGTGTGTGTGTGTGTGTGTGTTGTGTGTGTGTGTGTGTGTGCTATCCACCTACGGATGTGCATCCACCCGCTGGATGAATGCGCGGGCGATTTATAGCGCGTAGGTGGTATCCGTAGACTTGCCTGTGATCGTATCGCAGTCGCATGATCGCACGATGATGGTGTATTGATGTAGCTGTCGGGAATGAATAAGTAATTGCTGATTCTCCGGCGGGCGTTGGTCAACCGAAACCCGAATATACAATGTATACTCGTGAGTCGATTATCGTGATATATCTCGGATGAATTGTTCGTTACTAAGAAGGAGTGACATTAAAGCGAAAGAAAATCAGAGGCAGTTGCACCGAAAGTCTATTTGAGAGAATAAATCTTATTTTGAGAATGCTGCTTCAGAAAGTGTATCTGCTGCTCTAAAAGAGAAACGCATCTGACCTATTTCAATATAGTTGCAATGCGAACGCGATTGCGAGTATCGATAGAGATGCTTTTGAAGATACGAGCACGTTGTAATATATTTACATGGAAATAGACGAGAATGCTTGACATAATGATATGATAAAGCATAAAGGTAATGCAAATAATAAATGACAAGCGCGACCGCGAAATATTGGAGGGGTGGTTAGCCATAATGAGCTAAATTTGCTTTCTCTAGCGACGCTATGACTAGAACCACGTTCGGAATTCAATAATGAAACGCTAACCATAGTTAACTATTCTATTAAAGAACCCCCCCCCATTACATCTAATTGTAAGTATTCATGGGATGCGAGAAGTTTGTCGTTTTTCATGCTTCCATTCTTTTTCACAGAAGATTCCGCAGAAGCAAAGTAAAATAGTCTAAGCTGATTTAATTAGTTGCATCGAAGTATAGCTCCATTGTAGTTGAGTATAACCTGATATTTATTATATTTGAATCAAGTAAAAGGATTTTATTCAACTAAATTTTTCTTAAAATAATATGCCATATAGTTTCACATCGTTCTTTTATTTCGACACAATTCGAAAAATTAAGTTTCCCAGAAAAGTGGGAAAGTATTTTTCAATTTGACAAAAAATTATTAACTATAATCGAATATTATCGAAAGAATATATTTTTAATATGAGTAACTTTTTTGACGATTTTTTAAAAATCCTTTTCGAGTTGTAATGATTTTTTTATAAAGTTAAGTTAATGATTAGATAATATTTATTTAAGGATGTATTACATATATTTTTAACAAAGTGAAAAAATTACAGATGTATTTTATTTGAAAGTAATACAAAAAATATGGCGGCGATTTAGAATTTGAATGATCTGGATCAAATTATATATTATATCAATTATATATTATAAATTTATATAATTATAAATTATGATTCTGATACATTCGTAACTCATTCATAGTAATTAAAATCACTTTTTTTTTAGTGTCACTTTTAAAGTAAAAGAGCGGCACTTAATTTTTTAATTTTTCTATAACAAAGAAAATATTTAATCATTTTAAAATATGACAGAGCTTTTATATTTGTCTTCTCATATGAATATTCTTGTATGAGTATTCAGACCTATTGTTTGATTACGGCTCTCGGTGCTTCAGGCCTCTATCGGTTCCGGCGTATGCGGGAGAGAAATTAAAAAAATAGGCTGCATCGAAGAATTATTCTATCCTTTCTCTCTTTTTTTGTCAACCATGAAACATGTTGCCCTCACGCAAAATGCTCGCGACGACCGCGTATATCTCCGAAAACGCGTCTCGACGGGCTATTCCGGGTTGAGTTTTCATCCGCGGGGCACCTGCGCCCTCGGGTGCAGGTATATATGTGTACGTACTACGTGTATGTACAATACGTCTGGCGCATGCATGCCGCGTGTCGTAGACTTCTCTAAACGTTGCGTTGCTCGTACATTTCTGTCTGCCTGGGCATATTGTGCGTGTATGTGGTGTCCCGCTGTACGCACCGAACGACGATCCATCGTTATTTGTCTCGACCATTATCCAGGCTCGTGATTGCATGCATGTGTATGCGCTCAATGTGGTCGAGTCGCGACGCGTTATCGCGCACATCGTCTTTCCCGCGTTCAGCGTTGTCTCTCGCGAACGCATATAAACACGTGTTCTCCGCGCGCATTTGCTACGGGGGTGCAGGGTGGTTGCTCTCCGGCGAGGTCGTTCATGCTCGGCCCCCGCTGATGTGTCTCTTCGGTCGTGACAGAAATTAATTGCTCACTCGTATATATGCGGGTTGTCTCATCGCCGCTGGAAAATGCTGTTTCAATAGCTGGGCCTTCGACGAACCGCGGCATTCATCGTTCCCCGAATGCGTTTGATGAAGGGTCTAATTAATATTTGACCCGAGAGAGCACGCGTAGTATTCCGCATATGACACGTGCTGACAGCGATATTTTTCGTATCGTCATACACGCGCCGGGCACAAGTATTAATTATTAAAAATAAAATTCTGATCTTCCGATAATTTTAGCGGAATTTTAATTCGATAGGAATTCAAAAATATTTATGATTTTATTATCGGGATGTTTAATTTTGCAAAAAAAATTGACAAAATTGACAAAGATATTCGCTTGTTGAGTTTCTCTCCGATAATGATGAAATATATGGAAACAAGAATTAATTAAACGATTTTACAAAAATTCTATTAGTTAAAACTATTACTTAAAAGTATAATTAAAACCTCTCTCTCTCTCTCTCTCTCTCTCTCTTTCTCTCATCTCACCAGCTCTGATTTTTTCTGTTTCATTAAATTACTTTACTTCGAATAAGTGCCAATAACTGTAGAAAAAAAGATAAAACTTGTTCGCTTAAAGATATTTCAAAATTACCTTCGAACTTATCGTACCGCGATTTTAGCTCCGGACAATGGACATTGTCTTTTAACGGTTTCTGTTACATCGGAAACTTTTCTACATTACGTCGAAAACGATCGCGTGAAAGTATCTATGGAAGAAAGAAACGATCTTAAAGACCACCATGAAGATATTTTTCCAGCATCCGGTTACATCTCCAGTATCTTTGGGCATCTTCTTACGAGAGAGATAATGAAAAATTCTCTCGCTAAACGAAAACTCTTCACCCGCCGTTTCGCGCCATCGAAGCAGCATCGTATAGTAATACGGTAACACAATAAAAGGTCCATTTCGTAATTTGCTGTAGTTATTCGCCGCATCGTGAAACCATAAATCCGCGCGAAGAGCAACTCCGTACCCTCCCCTCCCCCGCTCGCGCGCGTGCGCGCAGAGATCTTTCTCGTTTCCATGCACTGTTCTCTCGCGAGTTCTCCTTTTTCCTGCGTCCACCCGCCAGTCCACATACCTCCTTCTTCTCTATCTCTCTTTCTCTCTTTTTCTCTCCACTCTTTACTAACTTTGTCTGTGCCCCTCTCTCTCTTTCTTTTTCTCTTGCTCTATCTATCTTTCGTTCTCTCGCTTTCCTATCTATTTCTTTTACTGTTCCGCCATCCTCACCCGAGAGATCGTACATCACACATACGACTCTCCTTCTTCTTTGACCCCCTTCTTCTCTCTCTTCCCCTTGTCGATCCCCCGTCAGTCCGTGGCACAAACCGACGAGTACCGAGAGACACTCTTGTGTCGAGGGCTCTCGCCGGAGAGAAAAGCCGTAACGACGTAACGCTCTTGGGACGTAACAGGGAGAGCCGGGTGAACCCGGACCGCCGGGACCACCCGGTCCGCCAGGAGCCGAGGGTCTTCCTGGACATGAGGGCAGACAGGGGATTCCGGGCGAGGTCGGCGCACCAGGGGAGAAGGGCCCGCCCGGGCCGATCGGGCCCATCGGTCCGACGGGCACGCCAGGACTTGCAGGTCCCAAGGTAAATCAGACAGATTTAATCCACGTTTTATCTTTAGTTACACGTCGACCATCCTCTTTGGGATATCGAGATATCAAATGTCACCTATTTTTGTAAATTTAAAGAGCTTTTCTCGATCCTCTTTTTCATGACGTGACAGGTGCTTCCCATCATGAAAGGAGTGAAAATAGCATTCTTTCTCTTAGCAAAGAATGTACTAACGTTAAAAAGAGTGGGAGGAGTAAGTGACCTATTTAAAAGATTCTTTCAATATTATTTTTTTAAAATATATTAGAACGTTAATAAAAATATTCCATAGAGAATTTTTGAAAAGTTTTATTGGAATTTATAAATCTCATTTGCGCTTTTTTGCATGTAATATATAGATAATTTCTAAACATATCAAAAAGTTGTTACGGAATTAATTATATACACATCAAAGTTGAGCTGGAAAGATAATTAAAAAACTAAAATTATCTCTCAAATGATAAATTAATTCTCATTAATTAAAAATGTATTAAAAGGATTTGTAATTATTCCGGCATTAAAGAAGTAAAGACAAAAAGCAAAAAGTATATTGTCGCAAAATTTGGATTCTCGCGTGAACATGATATATTCACAAGATAATATAAATAAATTTTATTTTCATAAATATGTTACATCATATCATTGTATAAATTATCTCCCGATTTGTCGATAGCTAGTCGATTGGTAATATTGGCGTTTAACTGGAATTAAACTTAACTTTATTTACGCAATTAATATTATAAAGCGCGATTTCACGCATAATCGCGGGCTTGCGTATTTCGAAATATCAAACATCTGATACCACGGATTCAAAATTCCGCAGAGAGTGATTTAATATTACGGATGTATCACCGCAGGTAACCACGTTATACCGTGGAATTACGTAATGATTACGGGCCACGTGCTTTCAAGTACGTGGTTTGAAACAAATCCGGCTAATCTCATGAGATTTTGAATTTCTCTCAAATTTCAACGGCGCGGCTTCTCAATTTCGCTTAATAACGAGCGATAAACCGTTCAATCTACATATTTAGCGCGAAGATGAGAAGACTGTGCACTATTTTTCGTATTATTTGAAATTTTTTTTTACACGTAAAAACTAAGCTCGTACATAACTATCGTCGTTGAAAAAAAGCGCAACGTTGATATTATGCTCTTAATATTGCCATTCAAGAGGTTATGTAACCGATAATTATTAATGAAGTACAACAGAGCGATTACAGAACAATGGAGTATTAATTACGTCCGGCGCATTGTTAATTTAATCCAACTATAATTAATTACATTCGAAAGCACGTTCCTGCATATTAATTACTGACGCTTGATACTGCCACGATAAAGGATCATCAAATGCTATCCATTTAGGAAAGTGTTCTTTTAATTAACCTGTCGTATGCGTTGGACAGAATTGCCGTGGAAAAAGAAACGTGATAATTTCATTTTCAGAAAATAATTATTGTAACGAAGCGAGAAATATGAGAGAGGAGTTGCGTAAATATGGAATAATTATCGAAAAATCATCGAAAGTTTATTTTCGACAGGGTGACAAGGGTGATAAAGGCGATCGGGGCTTCACGACGACCTTAAAGGGTGAGCAGTTTCCAAGTGGAGTATTTGAGGGCCCACCTGGTCCACCAGGACCACCTGGTAAGCATACAAACGAGATAATCTGCATACGAAATAAATGATTAAACATTACACGTCAATTGCATTCCCGTGAGGAATACGAGAACATATCACGGTAACTCTCTGCGAATCTTCTATGCAAATTATTTATTTCGTTAGCATTTCATTTGAATCTGATATCGTAGCTTTTCTAATTATATCACGTAATCATACATGGAACTAGATATTTTTTTTTTTCTTTGCGTCGTTTATTTTTCATTTTCTCGACAGTATTTTACATTTCAATTAATACATTTTATTAAATTACTATTTTTTTCACATCGTTTATTAAAATTGATATTTTCCACATCATTATTTTAATAATATTATTTAATGCTATAATCTTCCACTTTATTATTTCCTCGTGGATTCTTTTGACGGGCAGTGCGCTGATTGAGAAATCATTAGTGATCCACGAGAGAATTAAGTCGATCACACACAATAATTCGGAATCGGAACGCTATGTGATATTCATCCGATTATCTTCGCGAATCGATTATCTTCGCGCGCTGACGTGACCTCGGACGAAGAAAAGGCGGAAATATTTGACGAGGAAATCTTGACTTGGATGACCGTGCAGGTTCCTCTCAGTCAAGAGGAGATCGAGAAGCGATCACGCACGGTGGGCGTATATACGCTGTGTCTCGCCAGCATAGTAATATATGCGGCCGTGAGCAAATCTTTCTTTGCCATTCGCGCGAGCCTCCTTTTTTTTTCTACCGCCACTCGTCCCGTGCGGATCGGACGTTAACCCTTCGGGAGTTGAGCGTCCTCGAGGAGCACCAAAAAACTGCGCACACATTTATGTACATGGTGATATCTCACGAAATTCGTAGAGGAAAACGCGGTAATTTGATCCTCCATTTCATTTTTCTGTGTAATTTTTGTATTTTTTAATTATATTCAAGTCAATCACGTCGTCAGATAATTTATTGATTTGAGTTTAATAAAAATATACTTGAAATGATTAAGATAATTCACAAAATGCAAAAAATTGTTTAAATGAAAGAGACATTATGATGTGACTACCTATGATGATAAAGTGAGTCTTCTTTTACAGAATCTAGTTTCTTCAAGTTTTTTTTTTAGAACCCCCCCCCCATAAAATTCAAATAATTTAATGTCATAGAAAATTCTAAACTTATAATATTAAGATATTATTAGATTCAGAAATTTTTTTTCATAAATACGTTCTCTTAGCCTTCCTACTTTTGCGTTAATTCTGTCGACAAAATGCCAATCATGGCAGCAATATTTCACATTTTGATCCCATCCTAAGAATAAGTTAAAAACTTTTTGCAAGAGATAGTGCTAATTATAATAGAATTTTAAGTAGGATTCATGTTGAAAATAGGAGTCACATAATTACCTTTTCCTTTACTTGGATGAAAATAATCTTACAAAAAAGAACATAATTACAAGAAAAAATTCCATAATAAAAGAAAAATAATTAAATGTCATCGTTACTTGAGCACATTAAAATATCACAGTACAACAAAGCCAGGATTATATAGTTTTAAAGTAAATAGGATGTGACAAAAGAGGTTTTAAAAAATTCATAAGTCTTAACTTCGTATAAAATTGAATTAACTTTATAATATACAATCCGAATTTCGTTGAACTGAGATGTTTAGTGATGCTAACGTTATAAAGATGCGACCGACGTAGAATTTTCAAGAAATATTCGTCGAGAAAAAATCGCTTCTAAGTGTAAACCGAGAAATCTGTGGCCTCTGGGAGTCGTCACGACAATTCTAAGATACTCTGTGTAAAAGATTCAGCCCTGTTTAAAATTACAAGACAGGAGACACCACGCGCAACGCTTCTCGTGAATAGTACAAGGGTAATAAATGCGCAGTCCTGAGGGCGACGAACAGAAGCTAGAGAATATCTCGTCGCGTAAAGACGAGCGTGACTGTCGGCTTAAAAAATTCCGACTCACCTCTCGCGCCAATATCTCACGACTCGGTCGTTCGTCAACGTTCGTACGCCCACCCTGCTGTACCGCGCGACGGCGAGAAAATGATTTACGATCGCGGACGTATTCAGAATCCGATCTCGCTACTCGTAAACGACCGTTTACAGCGCGCCGTGTTGACCGTGATATGTCGGATATTGGCAAAAGCGTCGCGAGTATCAGTTACCTGCCTCACGACATGATTGATCCGCGAGAGAAACACTGTGATTATAATTGAGTGAGAACCGTCAGGAAAATAGGAAACACCGAAACAGTTTTAAGCGCTCGTTATGGAACCTGTAACTAGTTTAAAGAGACGATTGGAAAACCAATTATTGAAAATTTATGCAATTTATTTATGAAATTGCAAACATACAGTTCGAAAATAAGTTTATTCGATTCGAATGAAATTAATCTCCTTCGTAAAAAGAAGTAATTAGATCATATCTTGAGATAAAATCTTTTATTCCAATCAAGAATAAATTGAAGGTAAAGATCTCAAAAGGGCTTTAGCAGAAAGACCGGATTTAAAGTCCTTTTTTTGTAGACCTTGTGAATTTTAGATGAAAGCTTTCAATTTATTTTCGTCTGTGCAAGAAAATAATCTAGCGTTGATAAAATAGCTCCGATATGATCGTGTCGAAGACAACGTCGTGAAAAGCGCAGCTAACAACTATACGAGTCCAATGCATTCGACAGAAATGAAATTACGCGAACGCTAATCCGTCTTTATACCGTTGTACGATGACAGCAGAGAACCAAGGATGGGGTAACAACGTTTCCGAGCATTATATATGCGCGCCTGACAGAATTAATTTAGCCACATACAAATCCGTCTCGCAATTTCATGGCACGAACTGCAACAAGCAGCGAAGTCGCAGAAACTCGCTACTGTCGATATTGTACAAAGTCGTATTTTAGAATCAACGGTGCGCGCTACGCGGTGTATTTACTCTGTACGGTGCGATTCGCTCGCGCGATCCTCGAATTTCGTTTTGTGCACGTGGGAATTTTTGCGCGCGCGCGCGCGCACACACACACACACACACACACACACACACACACACACACACATACGCGCGCATACACACACAGTTGCTATTTCGTTTATAGTATAAATAATACCTAGAAAATGTAGCTTGCGCATTAAAACAAGCAATACACACAGTTAACAGTTTATGTGTTAGCGATATTAATCACTAAAGGAAGATAAGCAAATTTCAAATTCACTTTTCAAAAAAGTTTTCTTATAAGTTTTCTTATAAATATAAAAGAAAATATAATATAAATTTATTTATAACTTTATATCGATTTAAAACAAATTTTATAGAGACGAAATATTCTCTAATTTTTATATCAGTATTACAAAAATTATGACAAATGTCATTCTATTACTGGCGAGCAAATGAAAGAAAATCCTATTATGCAGATATAAAAGTTTCTTTTGCCGTGTGACAGAACAACATTGATCGTTTTCGTTCCGAGAATATATTGCTGTCAGTTCTATCTGAGAACTGTAGATAAATCAAAAGACAGTCGATAAAAAAGTAACGATCAAGCACGTCACTGCAAATGAAGTGTTAATCTGTACGACGCTTGACAAACCGCAGTTTTCAATTCTTACACGAGAAGAATGATTTTACTGAAGTATTTAAAAATTCAGTTACATTGAAAAAATGTACTAAATTTTAATAAATATTTATTCGATTAATGTTAATGTACATTTATATTTACTTGAACCATTTTAATTTGCTTTACAAGAACCAATTTAATTTGAACTCTCAATTTGTTATTAAATAAATATTTATTTACTGTAACTAAAAGTTAATGCTATTGAAAAATTATATGTTAAAATTTAATAAATTTTATCTCGGTAAAATTTGTTTGAAATCGAAATAATTATGTAGGGCGCTCAAACTAATTGCTTGAATGTTAAAACTTTTTGCAACATTGTCATCCACGCTTAAGCCTTCTACATAATTATTTGATGGTCCAACAAAATTATCTTCAGATTTGTATCTTATAACTGAATTTCTAGATACTTCAGCAAAATCATTTTCTTACGTGTAATTGCTCAATCCTAATTGATCATTGTTACATTCGAATTCACATTGTAACATTTCAACCGATCGCGTTACCTGTCGCAAAATTTCTTCGCACAATTTGTTTTATTTCAAAATCGCCGCAAATGCCGCGTTCTTTCGATCTATATCTACTTCCGTAAAGCTCGATCACGCGATCCGTCGTCAAACGCCACTTGGCGTTCGATCACTCGAAGATTCTCTTCGAAAAATGGAAATTCCGCGCTGCTCGTTCGCGTGCGTGCGTGCGGACGAGCCAGCGTGGTGTGCGGGCACCATGTCTCATCTTATCCACGGCACGCAGGATCTCCGGGCGAGAAGGGAGAACTGGGCCCGACAGGACCGCCCGGCCTACCCGGCGAGAAGGGTACTCGGGGAAAGCAAGGGAAGAGGGTAAGCTTCAGCGAGGTCCTCCGACCGCCGCCGACCATCGACCAAAGCAACCCCGTATGACCATCCACCCTACTCAGCCATCCATCCATCCATCTGACCTATCCTGTTATCCGTTGATTGAATCCGAACGTAGCAGGAAGCAGAAACAAATTAAAAGAAGAAAAAAAAAGAAAGAAAGGGATGGTCCATCCAATCTGTTCCCTGATACCCTCTTGAACCTTCCAGTTGCATCCTGCGTCCCGCATGGTATATGCATGTTTTTGCATGATAGCAAAAATATATCGAACACTCACGTCCCTCGGACGCTGATAACCGCATGCTTCTTGATTTGGGTTGTGCCACCATTTAGATCTCTCTTATGTACGTAGCATGACGTAAACGTAGTTTTTTCTTTTACAACGTGTCACAACATCCTTTCCAGTCTGAATCTATATGTAGATATATATAGATCGAGTGTTTAGCGTCAGCAAAATTTCCATCACATGGCCTTAGAGATTGCCTGATTTGATATTCCCGATGATAGTCGCTCTTAATGCCGCGTTAGAGAAACGGATCTTCTTCGTAAAGCACTGCGTTTATTTTATATATTTATCGGTTTTATCATATTTCGTTTGCTTGCTCGTACCTCAATTCTAATCAATCTAATTTAGAAAATCAGCAAAGTATTAATCATCCTTCGATTTTTGCCTGATAAATTTCAGCATTAATTATTTCGGTAGATTTAAATATGAAATTGCACTTGACTCGTCTGAAGATTTCAATCATCAATCTTCTATTTTTTTGCCGATTAAATTCTTCACGGTACCGAAGAGAACAAACGCCGTAACGATTCCTTCTGCGCGAAAAATGCGCGACTTTTTTTTATTCATTTTCGCTCCTTTTCGACTTCTTGGTTTCTTTCGCCCTACTTTCGAACATTGCCGACGTCTCGAGCTTTTCCCGCGGAATATTAGATTTTGTGATCTTCGAGAGCTCTCTGGTTCCGAAAACGAGCGACTCCGCTCGCACTGCGAGACGCTTCGAGCCGCAAGCACGACGCGCGTGCACAGCACGGCACGGCACGGCACTCTTCACGCAGTCACGCGAGCATGAGCACGTACGTCACTCCGTCACATTTGCATCGTCGAATAAACTGCAGCCGAACAGCATCGTCACTCGGTTACGGGCAGAGGGAAGTTCCTCGCAGTGAGACGATTTGTAATCTCGCTTCGCGAAGATGTTTACTCCCTTGACGGAGCCGTGGTTGTGCGACACGAAGAAACGGGAAACGAATCTCCTAGAATTTGATTCTATGTCTAGAATTTGAATTCCGTGTAAAAAATGTAATTGATCCATGATGTTTACTACTTGGAAAACCTGCAATTTTCAGGAGATTTCTTTTTTACTCTTACAAATCAGGGAGTTTCACAGAATTTTATCGGTACTCAGAGAAATTTTAAAAATTTAATCTTTAAATTTAATTTTTGTGAATATAGTTTTTTTGCAAACACTTTTTGCTTGATAATATAAAATGTTAATAATTGATTAACAATAAGTATAGCATCATTCGCGTATATTCATGTACATCTTCGCGAGTTTTTATTTTAAAAAAGGGTAAAATAGAAGATAATATTCAACAGAAGAAAATATTGAATGAATCTTTGTTATCGTATAGATTTTGCGGCAATTGTAGAAAATAATAGATATAGTCTCGTAGAATTTTTTACTAATTTTCAATACATAGTTAATTTGTGTTGCTTGCATTCTAATTTATTTCAAAGTTGCATAAAAACATTCTCTAACCTGGAATTTTGAATAAAAATATCTAAAAAAACCGGAAATTCTCAGGCAATTTTTTCACAAGATTTCAATGAACATCCTATTGATCAATTAATTCCTTTTATTGAATGTTTACAATTACAGTGTATTTGCAATGTAGCAACTGCGATAGTTTTTAAATGCGGTCGCATGCACATATATTCGATTCCTATCGAATCAAGTAACATTGAATTTGAAATTCATACATTTATAAACTGACCACAGAATATTTCAAGTGTTATTTGTTATTCGACAACACATTGTTACAGATATGTCGCTATTCGGTTCGCGAAACCGCATATGTATATTTTTTGTACACATGATATTTTCTCGCGCCTCCTTCAGGAACTTCCCTCGCCTGTCCGTGTCCATCTTCGGAATTGCATACGTACCTCGAGCGACTGCTGGGACTCGTCTGTCCCATAAAAAAAAATGCGAAAAAAATAACGACATGGAAAGTGAAAAAAAAGTAGAATAGTAAGCAGGAACGGAAAAGAAAGCAGATAGGAAAAAAAGAAACGTTGGTAGCAGCAAATAACACGTATCTTTATTGTGATATCCGAGGCTTCTCCTCGGATTCTCCCTCTTCTCAACCCCCTAATTCTTTCTTTTTCTCTCTTTCTCTCCTTATTTCTTATTCTCATGTTTTTACCTCTCGCGCGAACGTCGAGACATCGATCGTCTCCATTCGCATTCATCACCACCGGCACCATTCGCGAATCGCAGACTGTGAGCTGGCAAACAAACAAGCAAGCAAGCGAGCGAACAAACAGGGGTGGCGGGCTTAAAGCGCTCTCCTTCCGGCCGAATTACACGCCTACGCGCCTAACACCTGTAAACTAGTGCGCCTAAGAGCTTGGCGTGCGACCGTACCACTCTTTCGGGTCCATCGTAAGTATACTCGTAGATCTGCCGAGCGATCGTAACTTTTCCGATGGCTATTGCAAACGGCGACCACGCGCGGCGCATCCTCTGCAAACGCTTGTATTTTTTTCCGCGAGTGACAGCAAAATTTCTCTAAAATTAAAAACGCACAACGCATTTTAATTGTATAAAGATAAAATTGTATAAAGATGAAAATTTCTTAACTATATTCGTTAATTGATCCATGTTACAACATGTGACTTCCTGAACGCTCGTGGTTGTGTCGAAAATTAATGAAACGCTTCGACATGATTGTTTTGACTGTAGGTGACCGTGGTGTTTAACGTATTTGAAATTGTCAACCGAAACCGTGATTCGAAATGTCATTTTATTGATGAAATTTATTATTCTGATTTTGCAAGGAATGTTAGTTTCTCAAGGTTTCTCTTTCTGTGTCAAGCTGAAATGCGGTTGCGATTTAACATAATTTTTTAACAATCTCATGGCATAAAAGTAGAAATTTAATATTTTCTCGAAAAAAAAGGAATTAATTAAAATTAAATATAGTATATCAATAAAAATTCAAAAACCAAAAATATAGTGTTGAACAATAAGAGCTTTACACAAGGGGAATTGTTGCGCAATTTATATAATAGTCATAAAACTCACATAATATATTGGAAATAACGACTTTTCAATACATATTAATTCGAACGAATGAAAAAATTATGACTATTATATAAATTGCGCAACAATTGTAACTCTCGCGCTGTGTAAAGCTCTTATTGTCTGTAGCACTATATTTTTGATTTTTTTAATTTCGAGAGCCTGATTATTTAATTTTGATTTTCAATAAAAATTAAATTAAAATTAAATTGAATTACAATGACAAATGGAATTTGTTATAATTAATCAAAAAATACAATTCTATTCATTTTTTTATTCTTAGCTTTTATTATAAGTCAGCATTTCTCACTATAATATTTTAAAATATATGTAATATATTTTTTTGCTAATTTAAATGTAACGATTGAAAATTACGTCTGGAGGAGTACTATATAAAAACGTAAAAATTTTCTGTAAAATAATTATATTTATACAAAAAACGATTGTTCTATAAAATCAAATTTCATATAAATTATTAATTTTTAAACACGTTCATCACATTTATGTATATTTAATGCACAAATATGTGTTTCTTTCTCTGTATGTCGAAGTTCGTCTGTTTCATATGTTTACGACAGAAAAGTACTCTGTCCCATTTAGAAGTTATTAAATTCTCTGTAATTTTATGTATTTTATTTTGTGGAATTACAACGAGCCATTTTTTGTAATAAAATGGCTAGTGAACGAATATACTTTTGACAGCGAATTTTACCACGTGTAATGCTAAAAGCATGACAAATTTTAAACTAATGAATAAAAAAATACATGCACGAGTTTCACATTTTCCAATGAAAAAACACATTTTTTCAGATATATAGAACTAGATTGAATTAAGATGCAATAAGAGAGATTAAATGTAGCTCTTATTAAATTTTTAAGGAAAAATTAAGCAAGAATGTTGAAATTTACATAAATACATACGTTGACCATGTTCATGCTCAATTTTTCGAGATATTCCTTAATCGTCCCGAATTTTTTATTAATATTATATTCATAAAAATCAGAATCTATAAAAAAACATTATTCCTTTTACTTACACTTTCTTGAGCACAAATCAGTTCTTTAATGCCTTCCTTTCTGTTGTAAGAAGAATTGTTCTCTTAATGTAATTGCCATTACGGTTCACGATTTCTTTTTCGCGACTATGGTGTGGAATAATTTTGCAAGTAAATGGAAATATAATGCATTTGCAGAAAATGCGATTAAATGTGAAATTTACACAAATCTTGTAATCCGGCTTTTATAGACACAGTTTCAGACACTGAGAATTACCCTTCGGAGCAACTTCGGCAGTTCCGCTGCAGTTTCGCGGTCGAACCACGACGGTAAACTCGCGAATACACGTGTCCGCTCGCGATACTTACCTCTGGTTCACCGAACCGTAAAATTCGCCATTCGACCACAAAGCAAGCTCGCTCGCAACTTCGCCCGTCCACTCGATTTGCTTCTCTAACGAGATGCGAATCCGAGATGCTTGTTCCGGATGCGCTGCGTGCGTCCCGATTGCAAAGCCGCGGCCAAGTGTACGTTTAACTACAGATAACGTATACGGAGTACGCCAATTTGTTCAAAAATATCTTGGAGACAGATCCTCGGACAATACTTGGAATTGATCTCTTTTGATTATTATAGCTCAATTTTTACGGAAGGTCTCACTTATTCTTCATCAGATTTAAATTTGCCTGCAAAATTTAATTCCATATTTTCTCTATAACGTTCGACAATTATAATTACTACATTAATTATATTACTATGGTTTAAAAATTTTAATTTAAAATTTTCAGACATACACTGAAGAAAAATTAAATTTTAATAAATATTTGTTTGAATAGTTTCAAGTAAATATTTACTAAATGTAAATATATATTTACTTGATACAAAACCATTAATTTAATTTAACTGTCATCTTTTTATTAAGTTAATATTTACTGTAAATGTTTATATAGTACTATTCAAACAGATATATTAAAATATTATATATTAAAATTTAATAAATTTTTTTCAGTATAGAGAAGCTAATATATAATTGTCTTTGATATTTTTTGCTAAAAAAAAATGGACTTTCAAATTCGTCGACAGATCTCTAAGGTACTTTTGAGTGGACTGTGTATATAGATGTCCACGGCATTCGCCACTGTTGTTTTTTAGGATGATGGAGGTGATATCGAGCGCTTTTGACAGCGTGCGTGTAAGTGTGTGCGTGTATATGTACAGTTAGTGAGTAGTGATCCTCGGCGTGTAGTGTACGTAGCTTGTGTAACTAATTTGTGTTTATGTAGCGAGTAACACCACCCCACTACTCTCCCGCGTGTATCGGTTCGATTCACTAATCACTAATAACCACTACTACCCCCGGCTTGTTGTTGTGTTGAGGCTCTCGCAACTCTATCGACTGGCGATCGCAAGCGCCTGCAGACTGTCGCGTAAGTATTCAAGATCCTGTCAAAGTTTGTAGCTTATACTGCCGCGACTATGGTGTCTCCTCTCTCTCTCTCTCTCTCTCTCTCTCTCTCTCTCTCTCTCTCTCTCTCTCTCTCTCTCTATACTCATTTTTCGTGTGATATTAATATTTTTATCTATTTTTATTTAATACTTTTTCTGTCGGCCCCTATCCCGCCTTCTCTCTTTCTCTCTCGCGTAACATTCTTATATTCTCAGTGAATCACATTTCGTAAATTACATAATTAAAATATTTTAATTTTCTGAATTCAAAGGACTCCTTTATGCGTTTTTGTTATATCAACTTGTTAATAATATTTCGCGATATAAATCATATCACATTACATTTTAATAATGCATGTAAATTGAAAGGTTTTATTGCTGCATAAATGTACGGAACTGCCGATATATAATAAGTCAAAATTTATGAGATACCTTTTTGCGTTTTGTGAACAAGAAAGGATCCTATTAAGCAGTAGGGCTGGCTCTACAGGTTGTAATTATGAGAAGAGAATATAAATCACAGATGTTATCATAGCACGAGAGAGGAAAGAGATACATTAATAGTCCTTAATTTTCTATTAAATTTGAACCCTAACTAACGAATCCTCCGTAGTCGCATGAATATTAGTAGTCGTTGTCTACGTCACGAAGTAAACTTGTTTAGACCGCAAGTGTATTTAAATGTAGTACAAAAGTAGCTGTGCACTTATGATCTTGGCACTTAAAGTAAAAAAGAAATTCAATTACATAGATTATCACTTAAAATTGAATTGTGAAAATTGAACAGGTGAAGTACTAAGATCGATTAAATTAATTGACGTAGATCTCGAAATATCCTCTCCTTCTTTCCCTCCTCTCTGAAACAAGACAGATTAACGCTTCGTTAGAAGCAACAATGAAAAAGAAATTGACAGCGCACATGGAGGACCTGGTTGGATCTGACCTTGCAGTGTCATTGTAGGGTTTCAAGGGTGAGAGCGGTTTGGCATTGACGAGGGGTGCCCCCGGCCTGCCGGGTCCGAAGGGTGAGCCCGGCGAACGGGGTTACCGGGGCGAAAAGGGCGCCATGGGAGACGCGGGTTTACCAGGTAGATTACCACGAAACCATTCTACCGCGACGGGAAAAGACGAAGGATAAAGCACCGAAAAAAAAGCGATCATGTCCGCCCTCTTATTCCTCGTGGAATTATTCTCCCACGAAAATCCGCGATCCTTCGTACATATCTTTAATCGCGTCTCTATATCCTCATGCATTCGCACGAAAAATTCAAAAATTACGGAACTTGTGTAATCTTTCTCAAAATGATAATTAGCAGTAATAGTCACATCTTTGAGAAGATAATCCATGATTGACGACGATTAATGTCACCAATCAGATTTATTGCTAAGTTTATTTCTTTTTTTTTATTTCTTATTTTTTTTAATAGTTCGAGTAATACGAGAAACTTTAAAATTCATGGTATATCGAATTTTTTCTAGGAAAATAAACAGGTAAATATTCGTTATACGGTTCGTTTACTGTGTCATCAATGGCATCGCACCTTCTTCCGAATATTTTTGCATATAATGGTATGAAAGAATAATGTTTCATAGTTTCAAAATGTATATTATATAATTTCAAAATGTATAACAAATGAACGTGATGTTAAAGAATCCTACTTTTCTGTTTGATTATGCAAACATACAAAGAATAATGCGGGTCCACTGAACACGGGCGCGAGATCAGTTCAGATTTCTTGTTTAACTTTTTGAAGATATGTAATAGTGGAACGATTCGAAAAGTTCCCTCACGAAACTTGAAAACGACCCCGCGTTAACTCCTAGAGAAAAGAATTCGAAGGCTATGTCCTCGATTCTCTTCCGATAATGCACGCCAGCTTCGCCTTCCGCGAAAAATTTCAATCAAAAGTTAATAATGCTCATCGTTCGATATAGGAAATTAAATATTAATCCGCTTCGTATCGAATTGAATATTTAATTAAACGTTTGTTTTCTTCGAAAGAGTCATCGGGCGATCGATATTTATCATTGCTATGTGCGACGTTGCGAATATTATTGCGCATTTAGCGGCAAATGTTGAGGGATTGTTAATGTGATAGTCTTTTTGATAAATGCTTTTCATGATATCAATCAAAGTATCGGCAGACAATGCAGAAGATATTAATGTAGGAACAATATTTCATTGGTTGCCACTTTAAAAGTGGATTTGTATAAAACCAGTTTATACAAATCAAATATATATTTGTTATGACTTATCTGAAAAATTTCTCTTTATTTTTTATCATTAACCCGTAACAAGAACACATTTTTTTTATATTAAACGAACATGTGTTTCTTGGAATCCACTATTTGTTATTAGTTTTATTTTCTTTAAAGATTGAAACATTTGTAATTTGTTTGTATTAGTTTAATTTACAATATTTAGTTTTCTTATTAGTTTTTTTTAAGAAAATTAAAATATTTGAAACAACAACTAAAACTTAGCACAAATATAGTACAATAATTAGCCTATATGAATAGAAAAAAAATTATGAAAAATAAGATCATGAAAAAAATTTCAAATCATTACACTATTTAAAAATTAAGAAAACGTCCCAGGATCGCTGTATAGTTCATATGTTCCAGTTACGGGATAAAAAGAATATCTATATATATATATATATA